TATATATATATATATATTATATTAAAAAAAAAAATATATATATATTATATTTTTAAAAAAAAGATAAAATTTTTGTTGTTTTGGATCATCTGGTTGATTATGCTATGGCGGTGCAGTCGTGGTTGAATAATCTTGAAATAAAAATAATAATATGGTTTTGATCAGTAATTGCTTTAATTGTGATAAAGGAGTATATAAAAGAACATAATTTGATAAAAGTGCTGCCTGACTTAAGGCGAATAAAATAAGGAAAAAAAAAGATTATTTACATAATGTACAAATGTTTTGGGTCGACCAACGGGGAACAACAACAATGAGTATTTATAGAGAAGGCGCGACCTCTGGCGGTCGATTTAAACAGAGTATTTGAATCGATGAAATATAATTTTAAATAAAATAACACCCTAATATAACAATTCTAAATAAAATATTTTAATATAACATATATATATAAAGTGGTTTCATTGATATGGGGACAACACCATATCTCAGAAGAAGGCCAAGTGACACTCACTCCTCACTTTCTTACTGCTACTCTTTTTGTGTTGTTTTTCATGCTTCCCTCTTTCTCTTTCTTGTTTTTCTTTTTCTTCTGTATTTATCCTTATTTCCTTTGTCTCACTGCTTTGTTCTTATGCATACCTCTGGTGAATCCTGTATAGGGTCAGTGACCCTGAATAAAGGCTTTTTGTTGTTGTTGTTGATATGGGGACAATTTGCCTCCATTTTCTAGGAAGCTGGCCTGGAAGGACACTACCTTGGATGAGATGATGGCCTTTATTGGAGTCATCTTCAATATGGGCAATGTGAAGAAGAACCAAATCAGGGACTATTGGAGCAAGAATGAACTTTTAGAGACTCCCTGGTTTGGTAAAGTTATGTCTAGAGGGAGATTCGAGTTGCTCTACAGCTGCTTTTCTCTGATTGATGACTCCAACCTTGTTCCAAGTTCTCATCCTGATTACAAACCAACTGCAAGATTTGAGAAGCTCATAGAGCATGTGAACAACAAGTTTATATGTTATTATGAGCCTACTCATAATCTTACAGTTGATGAGAGCTTGGTGTGTCTCAAAAACCGAACTCGTCTTAGACAATATATGCCCCAAAAGCACCATGTTCGATTTGGAAGTCAAGCTGTGGATGCTTTGTGAATCTAAAACTGGCTATTGTCTGAGAATGAGGCCATATAAATGGTCATTATCTCCAATTATCAAGTCCCTTTCCTATGATGTTCCAATGAATCTGCTCCAGG